CCATCCCCACCCCATTCCCATCCTCCCCATCCCCATCCCCATTCCCATTCCCATCCCCATTCCCATTCCCATCCCCATCCCATTCCATCCCCACCCCATCCCCACCCCACCCCCCCGTTCCCGTGTCCCGCAGCGCTCGGAGCGGCAGTGCCGGGACGGGGATCGGGCTCTGCGGGAAGCTCGGGCCGTGCAGGGGGAGCAGCGGGAGCGGCTGGAGCAGCTCCGGGAGCAGGAGGAGCGTTTGGAGCAGGTGATTCCCACCCACCAGCCGGGAATGGAGCTGCACTGGTTCCCAGCCTTGTTCCCTGGTCCCAATCCCATTTCCCAGCCCAGCTGGTTCCAATCCCATTTCCCAGCTCTGCTCCCACCCAGCTGAATCCAATCCCATTTCCCAGCCCCTGTTCCCTGTTCCAATCCCATTTCCCAGCCCCTGTTCCCTGGTCCCAATCCCATTTCCCAGCTGATTCCAATCCCATTTCTCAGCCCTGTTCCCTATTCCCAATCTCATTTCTCAGCCCTGTTTCCTGCTTCCAGTCCTATTTCCCAGCCCTGTTCCCTGTTCCCATTCCCATTTCCCATCCCAGCTGGTTCCAATCCCATTTCCCATCCCAGCTGGCTCCAATCCCCATTCCCAGTCCTGTTCCCTGTTCCCAATCCCATTTCCCATCCCTGTTCCAATCCCATTTCCCAGCCCTGTTCCCTGTACCCAATCCCATTTCCCATCCCAGCTGGTTCCAATCCCGTTTCCCATCCCAGCTGGCTCCAATCCCCATTCCCAGCTCTGTTCCTGGTCCCAATCCCATTCCCAGCCCTGTTCCCCGCTGTTCCCGGCCCCTTCCCGAGGGCTCATCCCGTGCCTTTTGCCTTTTCCCGGGAATGGCAGGCGCGGCTGAGCCTGGCCCAGCAGCGGCGGCAGCTCCAGCGGCTCCGGCAGGAATTGTCACCTCCGGGGACCGGGATCGGGACCGGGATCGGGATCGGGACCGGGATCGGGACCCTGCCGGGCACGGAGCGGCTGATCCCGGGGGATGCGATCCCGGGGGAGCGGCTCCACATCCCGCTGGGTGGGTGAGGCTCCTGGTTTTGCCCCCTGGGGGTCCCTGGGGTGGGATTTGGGCTCCCGATCCCCCTCCTGGAGGAGCCCCGGGAAGTGCCGGGGGGAGGGAAGGAGGGAAGGAGGCGGATCCAGGGACGCTCCGCTGTCTCCGCCCGCAGCTCCCGCGGCCCCCGGCGCTCCGGGATTGCTCCCGGCATTCCTGCCCCCCGTGGGGATGATCCTGGGGGGCTCCAGGGACCCCCCGTGGGGATCGGCCGCGCTCCACGGGCACCTCCTGCTGCTGAAACACCGGGCACGGGTGGTGAGCGCGGCGGGAAAATCCCGGGAATGCGCCGGGAATGGGATTGGAACCGGCTGGGGGGGGGAGCTGGGAGGGGCTGGGAATCGGCTGGGTGGGAGCAGGGCTGGGAAATGGGATTGGAATCAGCTGGGAAATGGGATTGGAATCAGCTGGGAAATGGGATTGGAACCAGCTGGGAAATGGGATTGGAACCAGCTGGGTAGGAGCTGGAAAGGGCTGGGAAATGGGATTGGAACCAGGGAACAGGGCTGGGAAGTGGGATTGGAGCCTGGATCTGGGTGGGAGCTGGAAAAGGCTGGGAATCATCCCCGGGGGGATCATCCCAATCCCTCCTCCCCTCGCCAGGACCACGATTTCCTGGAAAGCGAGAGCCTCTTCCTGGAAAGCCTGAGGAAGGGGCCCTGAAACCCCCCCCTGGTGCCAGCCCGGAGCTCCGTGGGAGCTGGAATGGGAATGGGAGTGGGAATGGGAGTTGGGAGCTGGAATGGGAGCTGGAATGGGAGCCAGAGCTGTGCCCCCTGCCCAGGGCACCAAACCTGCCCACAAACCCTGGTTTTTGTTTGTTTACAAACCCTGGTTTTGGGGTGTTTATAAACCAATAAATGTATTTTTTTAGTAATAAATCCTCGGCTGAGGAGTCTTCCTGCAATTCCCCAGGTGTGTCCAGGTGTGTCCAGGTGTCCCCAAGGGTGTCCCCAAGGGTGTCCCCAGGTGTCCCTTCCCTTCCCGCTGGGAGGGGGGAGCGGGACCCCCCCCCAGAGTCCTCCCGAGGACCCCCAAACCGAGCCGTTTCACGTGGCCCCGCCTCTTTCTTTAGCCACGCCCCCGATGTGGCCCCACCCCATTTTCTTCGCTCAAGCCACGCCCATTCGTGTGACCACGCCCTGTTCCCCAAGTGGCCCCGCCCCTTTCCCGCCGTGGCCCCGCCCCCCGTTCCCGGCGTGCCCCGCGGTCCAAGATGGCGGCCCCGCTGAGGGTCCCGCTCCTGGCGCTGCTCGTGGCGGGGGCGGCGCTGGGGGGGACGGGGGGGACCTGCCGGGGGGGCACCGGGACAGG